GGGGGGAAGCTGTGCTGTTGCTAATAGAAGCTCCTTATAAGCAGCGAACTGACAGGTGGAAAAATAAATTCCCCAGCAGGCCAGCAAGAGGTTGTGAAAACACGGTTCAAGGACTGAACGTGTTGTGACTACTCTGTAACAGGTCCAAGGTAATTTACACACACACCCTTTAGCGCAATTCCTCCAGCACGGAGGAGACTGGGAAACAGGCTTTCCCGAAAGCCACATACCATTTTAAAACAGCAGTCTCCTCCCCGACAGGAAAACCGGCATTCTCATTCCAAGTCTTTCCGCGACTTCTCCCAGTGCGGCGAAGGAAAGCGGGCGACAGCCACCGTAACGAGAGAAGCCGGCAACAGCCCCGCCGCGCGGCCGCCACGCCTTCCTCCCGCCGCAGCTGGGGACGCCGAGCCGCGGATCACATTTCTCCTCCCCAACAATCACACGCACGCACGTCCCAAGAGTTGACACCCTCCAAACCCGCGGTTCCGCGACGCCGGTGACGGGGCCACAAAGCCCAGGGCACAGCCCCTGGCCGGGGCACTCCGGCGGCGTGCGTGCGCGTGTTTGTGTTTGTTCTCCTAATGAAAGGAAAGAGGTCTCCGTAGTTACGGCCTAGGGCCGCGCCGGGGAAGAGAGGCCCCCCTGTGGGGTTAAACAAAACTTCAGTTGCTGGGAAGAGCCGTTGCGCAACCTTGGCAGGAGGAGGCCGGCACCGCCCGGCCCGGCCAAGGCGGCTTCCCGGAGGCTGCGCCACCGCGTGCAGGAACCACGCGCGGCCCCCGCGTCCGGGGGCCTCGGGCCTGGTGTGGCGCCGGCCTCCGAGGAGCCGCTGGGGCTGGGCCACACAGCCGGAGCTGGGGCGGAAACCCGGGGTGCGAGGGCGCCGCGGATGCGGATGGGGACACCTACGCGCGACGGGGGCGGGCCGCCCCGTGGGGGGGATCTGGGCCCACCCGGGTCCGACAGGCGGGTCCGCTGGCCACCCAGAAGCAGGCCCCCGATCCTCCCACCCGGGCGCGGGTGCCCCTCTCACAACTCCCTTACCTTCCTAGAGACCCGCGCTCTCCCCTCTTCGGGCGGCCGCAGCCCTGAGCATGTCCGGGATGGGTCGCGGGGCCGTGCCGGGAACAGGGAGCCAGGCGCTTCAGCAAGCGGCACCACCCAGCCCGGGCTCAGCCCCTCTCCGCGGCCGCTGCCATCTTGTCCTGGCGGCTGAGAGGAAACCGCGAAACACCCTCCCCCGACCGCGGCTGCTGCTGCTGCTCTGGCTGAACGCCGGGCCCGTCTCCCTCATCTTCCTTCCCGGGGATCTGGGGTGGGAACAGCTAGACTGGGGCCAGGGAGAGTGAGAAGCCGGCCGGCCGACCTCCGGCAACTGGGCCTACGAATGGCGCGGGATGCGGGGCCCACGGCGGTTGGGCCCCATTCCTGAAGCCCCGAGGGCTACGAGAGGAGGAAAAGGAAGACAGCCGGAGAGGCGGCGACGGCGAGGCCCGCAGCTCGGTCTCGGGGCGCTGCGCTGCCGGCAGTCGTCACCAAGGCAGCTGCTGCCGGCCGCCCCAATCTCGGGCCCCTCCTCCGCGCCTGCCGATCTCGGCCGCCGCCTCCGCAGCGCCACCGCCCGCCCGGCCGCGCTGCGCGCCGATCCCGGGCGGCCCCGCTTGGCTCGGGCCGCGGCGCCTCCGCGAAGCCCCTCCCCGGGGTCCGCCCGCAGCCGCGCCCTTGTTGCTCGGAGCCCGCCGGGTTGCTAGTGCGGTCCAGTCCTGGGCTCCCTCACGCCATTCCTCCGGCAAAAGAATCATCTGCCAGCCCCTCTCTGCGGTTCTGAACCTCACTCAAAGCCCACTCGGCCAAAAATACAGATTTAAGAGAAGATCCTGACACCCAAAGAGGGGATTGAAACACGGAAGCAGGATTTTACAGGCCTTTCCAGATCCCGTAATCATAATTCCCCTTTCTATCCTTGGAAGTGTTTCTTGGCAGGTTTTTTTTTTTTTTTTTAAGGGTTCAAAAATAAGAAAAGGAGAAATGCTTAGTCAAATGAACAATCTCGATCTTTTTGGAGGTCCTTCCCAGTCCCCAACCCAAAACGTCCAGAAAATTGTAAATACAGGCTAAAGAATAAGGGAAAGGCCCTCTTGGAAATTTTCCAAAAGCACCTCTGCAGTCCAAAAGCCCATAATTGTCAAGTTTACCCACCTCTACATGGATAATTCTCCATTGAGTTAGTTCCACCCCCAGAGGCTAGTTTCCTCGCTCCTGGAGACTAGGAAATCAACAGAATGGCCCATTTCAACCCACGTAATCATAGAACCATAGAATGAGATGAAAAACCGTAGCGATCCTAAGTCCAAATTCCTACGCTAAGATAGAGGTTCAAAGTTTAGGAGACCTGAACAAGGTTCTAGAGCAAGCCTCTGGTCTCTACTCCCTCTCTCCAACTTTTCCTTAGGAAAGAACTGACCTTCTAAGCACCCATCCTTAAGAGTCAATTTTCTTTGGCACCTGTTTCTTCTGGTTCCTTATGTTCTGAATTAATGTCTAACCTTTGGGGAACCCAAGCACCTTTCTCTCAGGGATGGAAGTGTCCTTCTTTGCTTCCTACCTTCCTGTGGATTGAGTTTCCCATGAATGTATTTATTCCCAGACATTTTCTATTGCAGTATCTGGGGGCAGGGCAAAGGGAGTGACAACTTGCTGCATATATAATACTATATATTTTTTCCTTTTCAAAGAGGAGAGAAGAGTTTTTGGAGAAAGCCTTTCAAAGAAAGGGTTTAGTATATCCTGAGGCCACTGGAAATAACATTTTCAAATGAGGGGTGGGTTTTTTTCAACTAAGTAAAAAAAAAAGTCTTTCAAAATAGAAAAAAAAAGACAATGACTTTTTCATAATGATAGCACATAGAATCCATTTCTTTTCACTGTTTAGTTACTTTTGATTTTTTAAAGGAATAATCCAAAGAACCAAAAGAAAGGATGAAATCATTACTTAAAGGAGAAAGTTTAGAATACAGAAATCTATCCAACAAAACATGGAAAATATACTGCCATACTTGAAATTTTCAGAACGTTTGTTAACATTTCTCTAGGCCACTTCTAATGGAAACATTCCTTCTCCACATGTGGTCATTGGTACATTTATGAAGAGGCTGACAGTGGGAAGAATTTTTTTTTCTTTTTATCCCTATAAAGTACATTAGTTCTCACTACACTATAAATTCCAGGAGAAGATTCTGTCATCTTTTTTTAACCATCAAATTACTAGTGCTGAATACAGTTCCTGACTAGTGAATGTTGCTACATAAGTAAACACTATTGATTCAAGCCCTCCTCCACTTTATTCCTATTGACCCCTAACCTAATCTCTACCTCTACTCTCTTCCTCCTGGATCCATTCTGAACAGGAACATCCAGGTAATTATTCAAAACTCTGATGTAGCCATTTTATGAAGTTTGCTTTTTAGAAAAGGGAAATTTTTCATAGTGCTAAGTTCTTTTAAAATGAAGGTTACTAAGGGGCTGGGGTTGAAGCTCAGTGGCAGAGCGCTTGCCTGGCCCTGGGTTCGATCCTCTGCACCATAAAAAAATAAATAAAAATAACACAAAGGTATAAAAAAAATGCAGGCTACTGAATTGTATATGGAAAAAAAGTTAAATAGTCTTTTTCTATAACAATATTACTGAACGTGGGGCCCAGTGGCACACATCTGTAGTCCCAGCTACTAGGGAGGCTGAGGCAGGAGATCCCTTGAACCCAGGAGTTCAAGATCAGCCTGGGCAACATTGTGAGACCACATCTCAAAAAAAAAAAAAAAATTACTTAAATATTTATTAGGTTCCAGGGACTGAGATATGCTTTGAGGATACAGTGACAAAAGGAGACACCCTGTGGACTTATGCTTTCTCAGGAAAGTTGGCTATTATACAAATAATTACAGTATTAACAAACATTATTTAAAAAGTACAGGGTGCAATGACAGAATAGAACAGGAAGATCTAATGAGATGGGAGGTAAGAAAGCCATAGAAAATCTGGTTCACTTCTCATTCTTTAGGGGTCAACTAAATACTCACTTCTTTGGGGAAGAATCTCAACTTCCCTAAGCCAAATTCCCATATAGCTTTTCCTTACAGCATTCATCTAAATTGTAATTTTACAATTATTGTCTGGTTATTTGATTATCATCTACCTCTTCCACTAAGCTGAAAGCTCTGGAAAAGTGGAGTGCATTTTCTTTGTACTTCAGTGTTTCCCCAGCAACAATGCAGTAGTCCATGGTAGATGATCAACAGGACCTACCACGTCCAAGGCCCAGAGCAAAGTAAAAAAGCAGGGCTCCCTGTTCAAAAATTGTTGAGGCTTAGAAGTCTGTGACAGCAGAGCATTAAACCATGCTTAAGGAACTTCTAAACACAGACCTCTGTAACTACGAAAGCCAAATTAATGATGAACGAATGAAAATTGAGATCTGAAGTATGTGTAGGAATGAACCCAAAGAAATGACATGCAGAAGGAAAGATACATGCAAAACTATATGGGAAAAACGCAATGAGAAACCAAGACAGCTTTTAGTGAGATGTGAAGACAAATCAAAGCAGATGAGGATAGAAGGAGAAGCAAAGGCCAGACTGAGATTTAGGACTTTATCTTCCAGCAAAGACAGTAAAGGAAAGATTCAAAGAGATGCAAGCATAATCAAAGCAGTCATTTCCTTTGTGTGAGAGAAACATGGGTGGAAACTATGTGTTTCTTCTGCCCACTTTTCTGTTATTAAATATTGCTTCCAAGGAACTGTCATTCAGAATAAAGTGAATACCCACGTAGTGGTTTAAAGCAGTGTTTTAAACCCTACCTAGGCTGGGCATAGTGGCTAACGCCTGTAATCTTAGTGACTAGGATGGCTTAGGCAGAAGGCCAACCTTGGCAACTCAGTGAGATCCTGTCTCAAAAAAATAAAAATAAAAAGGTCTGGGGATGTAGCTCAGTGGTAGAACGCCCCGGGGTTCAATCCATAGTACCAAAGGAAGTGGGGTGAGGATACTATGATATGTATGTTGTCTCCCCCTACTATATCCCACCCCCACCCCCACCCCTCCACCAGCCAAGGAATTTTTGTCTGCTATGTTGATTTGATCTTATATACCAGAACAGAGCCTGGTATAAACTCAACAAATATTCATAAAATGAAAGAATTAACTTTTTATGTAAGTAGTAATAAACTCAACTGCTTGATCTCAAGCAGTCAGTCATTTGAGATCACTGACAAATGAAATCCATGACTTCTTTACCTCTTTGCCTGTCTTAGGTCTTCACCATCCCCAAAATTATTCTGTCCAATGGAGGCCAGACCTCTTTGCACTTGCCTTGTGTCCATCGCTTACTGGACCACAAAAAGGTGTTCATATAGAGAAGCAACTCTCTCAGCCTTAGTAGATGCTGCTGATTCTTCTGTCCAAATCATTGCAGTTTCAGGAAAACCCTTGGAACTTTGTCAGAGCCTGAGTCTCTAACCCACATTCATCCTTCCTCAAGGAAGTTGGGTTTTGGGTTTGTCCCTCCACCCCCCCACACACACACACACATCCCAGACCCTAAATATCTTTTCTTGCCATTGAGGGAGTGAGAGGTAACTAGTCAACTGAAGAGCTCCCTAATTACAAATCAAAGGGGAAGAGTTCACCAGGGGTTTTGTCTCCTCCCTCTGGGAGGTCCTGGCTGCCTTATGCAAATAATCTGCCTTCTTACTGGAGATCAGCTTTATACACCTGAGCCTCAGGGAGGGGCAGTGGAGATGGAAAAATAACAACAACAAAAAAAACCTTCAAAAGTCCGTCTCTCCTGCCCACATTTGCATCATGAAAAAGTCCATTCATTTAACTCTTTGCAGTCAAAGATCTGTTTCTCTTCCTACAAAAAAAAAAAAAAAAAAAATGCAAATAGCATAGCGTGGAGGCTGAGATAGGAAATTGAAATTCAAAGCCAGCTTGGTCTATTAGCAAGACGCTGACCTGCGGGAGGAAAAAAAAATTGAAAGAAAGGGCTGGGTATGTAGCTCAACGGTAGAGCACTTGCCAATAATGCATCAGGCCCTGTGTTCAGTCACCAATACACACACACACACACACCCCAGGCAAAAAACTCTTCTCCCTGAATTAATACCAATGAAAATAATCTCATATTAATCTTGAAGTTCAAAATCTTAATCTGTGAGTTAGCTACTACTGCCAGCACAAAGCAAAAATCTTATACAGTCAAATTCATCCCTGGAAATTACCTAAATTACCCATAACATATCATATACATTGTTTGGATATGCAACCTGATACAATAACATGTATATATTAATGATATGCTACTATAAGTAGTCATAAATTTTTCATGTTTCGCCTCTTGAGGTATTTTACTTATTTATTTATTTACTTATTTATTTATTTTCTTGGTACCAGGGATTAAACCCAGGGGCTCTTTACCAGGGACTGAACCCAGGAGCTATGTCCCCAGCTCCCCCCGCCCTTTTTTAATTTTTTTATTTTTATGACTGGGTCTTGCTACATTGCAGAGGTTGCCCTCTAGGTGCAATCCTCCTGCCTCAGTCTCCCCAGTAGTTGCTGGGATTCAAGGCATGCGCCACTGCACCTGTCTTGATCTTGATATTTCCTTGCTCACAAATCTTCTATTTTTTCACATACTAAAAATGTCCGT